AAACACTTATACTGGGCACTGCACGTTTTTACTATTCACATTCACTGAGGTTCATGAGGTCATCTCCGTGATCTCTTAGCCTTCGTAGACTGTTTCCACTGAACTGATCGTTCGGTTCCTGAGCCTAACCTTACCGATTCTTTCGCATTACTGAAATCAAGGTTGCTGTTAAAGTTGTCATAAATAAAATACACTAATCAGCCATACACATTTACATAATTTTTGATGGGCATTCATTCGTTTATATTCTTTATTTTCTTTGTTTCTACTTTTCTCACTGGTGCGATGCTCGGTCTTTAATCGTTGCTGCACTTTCCCGAAATGAAACCGTAGATAGAACTATAGTAACAATCAGAAGTGACGTTCTTCGTTTACGTCGATGACAGCGTGAATTTCAAGCTTGTACAGTTTAATTGCGCTAAATTTTCACGTTCTGGACCATTTAATCAATGCGAGGGATCCCTGTGTCTTTTCATTTTTGATGTTATGCCCGCAGCCATATTTAATACGATTTCTTTGAAATGGTGCTGATTTTGACAAAAACGAAAATTTCATGCTAGAGGAAAGGTGCAATTCCATTTATACCGGCTAGATATATATTTTGCTATCCTGGAGTATGGAAATGAGACTGTCCTGATAGGTAGTACGAGATGCGATCTCTGTCACTCGACGTCTCATGCATGTCAAACAGCCATTAAAGTCGGCCTCTTCTTAACGCCCGGAAGTCAAAACTTATTAGAAACCGATCCAGTACAGCTGATCTAAAAGTGGAACAGGCAGGTAGAGCGCTTCGGAAGGTTGACCGATTTACGTATCTTGGCCCCATTATCTTCAGTGATGGCATCATCCAGCCAGAAGTAAAATGTATGATTGCCTTATCTTTGAGTGCGTTTCGAAACTTGTCCGGTATTTGAGCTGAGAAAGTTCTTTTCTAAAAAAAATCTGCTTCTTCCTTTCTTCTGTCAGGACAGGTTTGTTGTAGGCCATGGCGACAGTTGTTATAATGAAGTAACAAGAACTATGGTTCAACTGCATGCAGTGTTGATTTCTAGGCATAATGAGGTTTAAATGACAGGACTGCATAAAGGATGCTCCGTTCTGTTCCTCGTAGCGGTAACGTCAGTAGATGTGAAAGTTAAGAAAAGGTTAGCCCTGTTTG